AAACTTGTCTATATTATTTAATGAAACACACACACACACACACACACACACACACACATATATATATATATATATATATATATATATATATATATATATATATATATATATATATATATATATATATATATATATATATATATATATATATATATATATATATATATATATATATATATATATATATATATATATATATATATATATATATATATATTGTCTGTCTCGCTAGAACAATTACGAGTGAGTAGTGAGTTCGATCCTCATTGGGTGCCCCATATTTTCGGTCTTGTGCCAAATCTGAGCTACGCTTGGAATATCACTATATATATATATATATATGCGTGTTTGAAGATTTTAGCTCTCTTTAAGGCGATCTGCAGCAATTCAATGACTTCTGTAAAACTTCCGAGGGCAAATTAAAATTAATTTATCCAACATCTAGTTCAAAGAAATATTTGCATTTAATATGTCCTTCATCTTCTTGAATTCCAAGGATCAAATGTCTTTGAAGTTCAAAGGAAACATTCTGCAGTCGCCTGGTGATTATATGACCTGTGGTAACCTTTTGTTCTCCTCCATTGAATATGTTTTGGAAAAAGGGCATTACTTTGAAGAGTTCTTGTTTAATTGTCATCAAAGAACAATGATCTCTGGAGACAAACCTTGGGCAGAAAGGTTCTCTTAATAAAAAAATAAAATGGAAATCTTAAAAATGGATAGCAAAAAAAATTAAAGGAAAAGGGACTTAATTTAAAATTAAAAGATAATTTTATTTTTAAATTTGAAATAATAAAGAAAATTTTATTTTTTCAAAATGAAAGAAAAACATTGAACTGATAAGTAAAACATATAAAATTAAATACAAATTTTTTTTCCCACTGGTGGGTTCGATCTTTAAGTTGCACTATATAATTCATTTTTATGCCAAAGTAAGGTAACAGTGACTCAAGTTTGGTTACATTTTAGCTGGTTGCACATTACTACTGATTAGTCAGTTTGATCCTCACTAAGTGCCCAATATTTGTGACCTTAGGCCAAAACTATACTCAGTGTACCAAATAACATAGGCGCTTCGGCAAGGAGTAATGGTTCGCGATTTTTTTCCAAACATAGCTTTGATGTGGCAGAAGATGCAATCACTACTTCGACTACAACCGTTTCTTTACTCGCACTACCCGCCTGTGGAACTCCTTTCTGTTTATTTTCTTCCCTGATAACTACAGTCTTCAAAAGTTTAAATGCAATGTCAATCAACATCTTCTATCTTCTTGAATCCCATTCATATTTTGTCATTCCCTCAATCCACACCTGTACCCAGTCTCTCCTCTCACTTTCACTCCCTTGCTTGGGTTGAAATACTGAAGAAGAAGAAGAAGAAGAAGAAGAAGAAGAAGAAGAAGAAGAATTATGATTCTAATGAATAAAATTCGGAACACAAAATGGAAAGAAGGAAAGGACAAGTTTAATTTTTGTTTAGACACTTGAACAAGAAATGTAATTTTTATCATGCGAATGCTGCCGTAAATGGAAGTAGAAATTCCAAGAAAGTATTGTTTTCTACATTACACGAAGACTTTCTTAACAAAAGACAAGTAAATTCATGAGGCACTAGGAAGTTTTGACGTACAGAGAAAGGATATTTAAATAATTATTCAGCTGTATTGAGAACAAACAGTTTCTATATAGATAGAGAATGTTTTGAGTAAACCAAAATTGGAAGAGGGAGTGACAAGGATGTATTTTCGTGCCAGTTTTATCTAACATGTACAGTGAAAATGTTCTAAGTAGACTAAAAACTTAACAAGGTTTATGACATGACCTTAACAACATATGCTACACAGACGAAATTGTGTTGGTGACAGATTGAGAAGAAAGCTGAAAAGCCTTTTAGTCAAGGTCGTCGAGGAAAGCAAGACATGACTAATAATTAAGTGTAATAAACAGAATGGACAGTGGTCAGCAAAAAGGCCAAATCGGGATGTGAATTACGTAAATGGGACTTGAAAATCACGCAAAAAAGTACATTTAACTACCTGGATAGTAACAAAAGGTAGAAAATATAATACAGAGCTCTGGTGATATAAAGGAATAGCGAAATGTGTCTTTCAGAAACTAATGGAAGGGTGAATGGATCAAGAATGATCCTTAAAAGCAAGACATTTAATGCTGAACTGCCATTCCTCGAGTCCACTGTATGGGATTGGAAGCTGGACAAGAAATGCAAAGTTTCCTATGCCGTCAGAATTACCAGTAGAAATCCTGAAAGTCTTGTACTTGTGTTTTCTCAATTATATAACGACTTTCTATAAAATGACACACGTAGAACATCTTGAAACAGGACCGATGCAAGATACCCACCGCCCACTCAAATACGTCTCAGTTTTTATAAGGTAGTACTCATATTCTCGCCACTGTCAAACAGAGAAAATGGCGTGGTTTACAAGGCACGACGGTCTACGCAAGACCATCATGCAAGACAACGTTGTAGGTAGGAGATGATGCTAACGCAAAAACTGGTTGGACAATGTCAAACAATGGACATGTATGACTATACCAGATTTGCTAATGTCTGCCGTTGATAGACTGTTGTGGAGGAGATTCAATATGACTTCTGCATTTGTACCCTGCGATTACAAAATTCAAATGAAAGATAATGATGATGCTGATGATGATTCATATAAATTAAAAATTTTATTGTAACCTAATTATGCACGATAATAGATCAATTGCAATATAGGGGAACAATTCAACTAGAAAAAAATGAAAATAAATACAATGTATCTAAATGCAAATTAGAGGGATGCCATAATAGATCTTTCCATCTTAAATAAATCAACAATGTTTTGCGTCAATTTTTAACATCAACTAGAGAATTTTTTCTGCTAAAAGTTTGCATTACGGATATAAAAAAGTAGCGAATTTTATATCGTTTTTTTTTTTCAAGACAGCACGAAAAAAATCCACGGATTTAGACAAAATGACGTAAAAATCCGACAAAATTGTTTTTATCATTTAATAGTCAATTGTTCTCTTGTACTTGTTCTTGTAACGGCATTCACCCGGGGTGGGTTGAGCCGGCTCCAATATTGGAGTTTCATGGGAATTTGGAATTCACAAGCGGTCCCCAACACGCATGTATAGCACATGAGATTTGATTATAGTGATGAAGGTTTCGTGCAAGACCATCCACACGTTTTTTGAAGGGCTGATTACAGAGACCTGGTGCACTACGTGCCACAAGGTCCCCAAACGACCCTCCGCAGGTTTTGAATTCAGAGTTTTTCCTTCTCCTAGACCAGTTGCCATCCAAGGCTATAGAACTCAGTCTGTCCTGCTATTTACCCATAGCTGGAAGGAGAAGAAGAGGATTCACACCATTCCCAAGGTTATTAGCACGTAAGTGATTGCAATGGATTCGAATGGAATTCGAACTCGGATCTCTGATTCCTCAATCCAAGCCGCTATCCATTACTATCAAATTCAATAGGTAATTTAATGCCGAGATTTTTATTGCTGGTAATATTTTTTTTTCCAAAATAGTATTTCTTGTAACATTTTCCCCCAAAATGTATTGCTGGTGATATTTCTTTTCCAAAAATGTATTGCTGGTAATACTTTTTCCTTCAAAAATATATTGCTGGGAATATTTTTTTTTTCAATAATGTATTGCTGGTAACATTATTTTCAGATTCATATTGCTGTTAATAAGATATTGTTGGTAATAATTTTTTTTCTTCAAAGATTCATTGCTGGTAAGATTATTTTAGAAAAAAATGTATTGCTGGTACTAAAATTTGTTTTTGCACTTTCATAATGTTTTAACCCCAGTTCGGGGTTAGCTATTTGCCCATAGCTGGGATCCTAACAGGTGCTACCACTCCTGGTCAGGGTGGATCTGGGAACACCAGTAATTAAGTGGAAGCCCCTCAAAAACTTCTTGATCAGGGGCCTTGCTGTTGGATGTAGTTTATCGTCTTAACCAAGAAGGCTCATTGGGTGGCTGTGGGGTTTTCTTATTCCTCTGCAGAGGTGCAGTCAGCGTATTCTAAATACACTTACCTTGAAAGTATAAAATTGTGTGCAAAATATCTGTAGTTGAAAGCATAAAATTATATACAAAATATTTAGATTCCGGCATTATATAACCCATAGAGCTTGCTCCGTCCTGGGTAAGACGATAAACTACGCCCGACAACAAGGTCTCTGGTCGGGAGGTTTTGAGGAGCGTAGAACCACCTCTTAATTCCTGGTGTTCCCAGGTCCACCCTGACCCGGTTTGGTAGCACCTGTTAGGGTCCCAGCTATCGGCAAATAGTTAACCACCAAACTGGGGGCAAAATACTAAAAAAAAAAAAAAAAAAACTATTACCAGCAATATATTATTACCAACAATACATTTTTAAAACATTACCAGCAATGCATTTTTGAAAAAAATATTACCAACAATAGATTTTGGGGGAAAAAATTATCACCAATAAAAATTTTGTTGCCATTAAATACTGATTTTCTAAGAGTAGATTGGAGGTGGCTTAAGGGTGAATGTATTGGGCAGCCAGTGGTGTTCGAACTCACTCTCCAGGTGTAACTGTTTTAGCGAGAAAAGCTCGTTAACCATTGCACGGCCTTGAGGCGCCCGTCGTCGGCATTAAATAAGTTATTGAAGTTGATATGGCGTAAACCAAAAACCAAATCTAACCAAACCATAGAGTTTGTTATGACACAAAACAAAATGAACCAATCCACTAAATGCGATCGTTTGTTGCGGATAGAAATAAACTCCTAATGAAGGTGTTCTGTTGAGAAGGTGATTTTTAAGGGAACTGTCACGACAACAAAACAGAGAATCTCAAAGTATGATGGTCACAATAGTTGACAAAATTAATTGGATCTATTTAGATTTCAGGTATCACCTCGCGAAAACTGTTACTGATATCTTCTTGTTTCTGTCTGGCATTTTATAGGTATAGCGTTACATAATAGAATTATTGTAGGCCACAATGTTGGTCACGCAGCAAAATAGGGATCGCTACAATGGTAAAGTAATCCACAAAGCGAAACAGTTACGCAAGGCGTGGCTACTTACCTGCCCCACAAAACGCACGACGAAAGATTTGACACACATATATGCGTATGGTTCAAGAAATTGTCTGTTTTCCTTCGAATTTCTTTTGGGGCGCTTCGAGCATCAGAGATGATATCAAAACACTAAACCTTTACCTACAATGCAATAGGTACAGCCTGGGAAAAAGCCCTACCCACAAACACACCGCTTGATTGGACTTTGGTTCATATTTACTGCAGGTTTCCAAAACAATCCGCGAGGTGATGTTATTCATTAATTTAACTTGGCATAGGGACATTAGCATGGGCTCACCAATGAGAACAAAACTCGCTACTCAGTAGTAGCTATTCCCTAGTTAAGATTAGTCTTGGTACAAGGACACATTTATGGAGCACTAGCCGGTAGTAAAGGGCAATCAAACTACCTAATTAACCATTACTCTCAAGTTGTTATCTACTAGACTGAGCTTTGTTTTGGCTCAAGGTCACAAATATGATGCAGCGAATGAAGATCAGACTCATTAATCGGTACATACTAAAATTGGCTCAACACTTGAATTATGTGGTACCCAGGAAGATCGAAATCACTACTCAATAACTATGATCCATCAGTCTACCTCGCTAGCCATAACTCCTTTTCCAAGCGCCCAATATATTTATCATCCAGACCTTAGTTTTGTCGCAAGGTCACAAGTGTAGAGTACCCAGTAGTAATGATCGACCAGACTTATTTGTAAAATTTATGCCACATGTCGAAACACATGCTAACTGATTCACTAGCGAAAGTACCTTAAATATTTACTCATCTAAAATTGGCTTCGGATAAAGATGAACATGTCTTTTTGCCGATTAATGAAAACATGTGAAGACTTATAAGAAGCAGCAAACCTAATCTTTCATGTTTAACAGTGAATTTTATTTCACTCAAATACTTCGTCAGTTCCCTTTTAACTGTGTCGGCGTGGGCGACTCCGGGCCCTCAACCGAATGTCGGCCCCTCATTCTCTTCTGTCGAAGTCTGAGGGACAGTACAACTCATCTCTTGGGGTAGCAGTTTAGATAACTTCCTCTCTCATACTTTCTCTTTCCCACGTTTACAAAACTGGTGTTAGGTCCCGTAAAAATGTATTCGGCGGCCAGTTGTAACCACCGCACTTGGATTCTGTGGTCTGGTGTGAAAGTGAGTCGAAAAAATATACCGGTATATAACACACTTGTCTAAGCACGAGCGCCACTCAAGGCAGAGTGCAACAATTGAAATTGTAATGATAAATGATGCGTAATATATGAGTGGGAGAAAAGGTGGTAGGAAGTGAAGGTTATGAAGATAAAGAGGATAGATAATGGATTAACTTTGATATTAAGAGGTGATCCAGGATTATCCAGAGAAGCGGCAAGGGATCGTGAAATGTCGGGAATCAGTTCCAAAAAGTGGTAGTTCTTGGGGAAAAAAAAGATCGTATTATGCTAATTTTTCAAGTGGAGAGGCTCTGTCCCCCACCCTACCTAAATTCTTTAAACAACTTCAGCAAAGCGCGCGCACACACACACACACACACACACACACACACACACACACACACACACACACAAACGGTTATAATCCCACTAAGACGCTAGAGATAAAGAATGTTAAGATTTGGGAAGGACCATAAAACCCAATCCTTAACAGCAAACTGAGTATAAACTTCTACTCTTGTTCAAAAGAACGGGGAGGAGTTTGAACCGGACGACTGATTTGAAAATCAGAATCCGATACCCAAGCTTCTTTTTTTTTTTTAACTGCGCTTGAACATCGACCTCTTGCTCAGATTGGAAATGTGCAACTAGCTAGATTCACAATAATATGGCACTCAGTGAAACTCGAACCTACGACGCAGTCAATTTGTAAAACAATTTTGCTATTCACCGATCTACAGTAGGTGCCCATCTTTTCCGTCTGAGTCTACTTTTCATTCACCTCTGTTTCTATTTTGCATTCTCATCTTCATTCATTTTGGGATTTTCTCTACTCATAATAATCATTAGTTACCTTACCCTTTTCCTATTCTCCCTCATACTCGCCTCCCTCTCTCTCACACGCCTCCACTCTTTCACGCCACTCTCTCTCACGCCGCCACTCTCTCTCACGCCACCACTCTCTCGCTCACACCGCCACTCTCTCTCTCTCTCTCATGCCATTCTCTCGCTCTCTCTATCTGTCCCTCTCCCTCTATGTGTATATGTGATTTATTGAATATTTTTACGTTTCTCTTTTTCCCGTTTCTTTCTGTTTCTATTTACTTCATCCTCTGTTTTAAAATTTTCTCACTCTCAATCGCCTTTATCCTTCACACTCCACTCTCTCTCTCTCTCTCTCTCTCTCTCTCTCTCTCATGCTCTTTATTTCTTTATCTTTCATGCTCTCTTTCTTTGATTTCTTTCTCGGAATTCTTAAGTAAAAAAGAACGCGAGAAAAAGAAAAAAGAGAAAATGACGTGCGAATAATTATTTTTTTCTTTCACTTTGTATTCTTTCTTTCTTTTTTATTTCCTTTCATCTGAAAGTTTTCTCTCTCTACTCTCTTCTTATCCTCCTCTCACTCTCCTCTCCTCTCACTCTCCTCTCCTCTCACTCTCCTCTCCTCTCACTATCTCTTCCGCTCTATCTCTCACACACTCTCTCTCTCTCTATTTTTATTTTTACGTTTCTTTCTTTCTATTCCTCTCTGTTACTCCTTATTCCTCCTCTCTTTTGAACTTTACTTTCGCTCTCCCCATCCTTTCCCGCTCTCCTCATCTTTCACTTTCCTTTTTAGAGGTTCTTTTTTCTATTTCTTTCTGTTTATGTTTTCTTTCTTTACTTCGCCTTATCCTTCTCACTCTCATTTCCTCGCTCTCTCTCGCTCTCTCTTCGATTTCTTGAGTATATTTTATATTTATGCTTATCTCTTTCTATTTCTTTCTTTGTTTCTTTTTATTTCTTCCTCTCTTTCCCACCCTCTACATTTTTCCTATCCCCACCTTTTCGTGTGTCCATCACTCTTGCCAACATAGTTATTTCTCAGTTCAGTTCTTCTCACTTGTCTCAGCAGATCCTTTTATCTACCATTTACGGCGGAAATTACCACAAATTGATTCGCGCCGGTGCAATCCAACACCTTTCGTTTTTCATTACCATGGCAACGAGCCAAATTCACGTTCCGTAAACTCCAAGCTTTCCATTACAATAAAGAGCAACCAAAAAGAAAAAAAAAACAAAAAAAAAAAAACTATGGTACATAGTAATAGTGATAACCCTAACCTCCTAAACACCCATATTCGCGAATTTGGATTGTTCGCTCTTTATTCATCGTTACATTATGACGTCCGTGTACCAGATTGAAGTTAAGTTTTTTCGTTAATAATAATAATAATAATAATAATAATAACATGGCAGTCCCTGCAGATTGTAATGTATAGTTGAAGATCTTTAAAAAAAACTATCAAAATACAAGGATCTTGAAGTGAAAATCTAAAAAATGTGGTACATAAGGACACCAATAATCCTAGTTTGATTAGCTCTCAGTTTGATTAGTAAAAGGTTTCAATAGACTCATTGAAGGGATTCCTGATAGCTCATTCCATAAAGAAATACTACAAATTGTATTCACAATTACAGCTCACACATTATAAAGAGCTTTATCTATGTAAAATGTGTGTTCTTAGGGGTTTTTTTGGGGGGGGGGTTGTTTTGATTTTTACAAAAATAATCAGTGGAAAATGTCATGTGGTCATTCCTGACCTTGGAAACCGGAAGAAAATGTTTATACAACAGAAATCAAATGAAATAATAATAATAACGCTGCCTATGACTATGATCAACCGTAAATTTTTAATCGTGTTCTTCCAAGCAAGGCACTAACGCCACTAAGACAGAACGGGTTTGAAAAAAATTTAAAAATCATAAAACTTAATGAAGCAGGAACAATAGAAGAGTAATCAGGAAGACAAGAGACAACGATTGACATTCCATTTTTTTGTCTTCTTGTAGAATAATGTTGACTGATTAAAACATAGTAAATACAATTACATCTAGACAAATCAAGTGTATATTGGTAAGACCTTGTCGCCAGTGTAGGACCGCGATTTAATTCATAAAGTCTAGTTACCATGACGAAGAGTTCATCCTCACAAAAACAAAGGGAGGCAACTTTTCGGTGGTGGAGAAATAGCTGAAGCCGAGACACCAGGTCAGAACAAAATTAAAGAATTTGAAAAATAACTTTAATACTATAATAGATAAGTTACATCACAAAGACTTAGTTAAACTACAAGGAAAACTTTTTTAATCAATTCATCCTAAGCAAGATGATAAGATCACTTAGAATCAAGGGCTTACTTATAGTGCAAGAGAATCAAAATACTTTTCAACGAAACGAAAACTCAAACTTAAACCTGAAACACATGTTGAAACTCTACTCTTTTTTTTTAAACCGGGGTCCACCCTGTACATGGACCAAGAACCGCTTGAGGTACTGAGTTACAATAAGAGGCAGTTTATGCGGATAGGAGGGGAAGATAATGGTTAACGCTAGCCTTGAACATGTTAAGATTGTAGTGATCAGAGAAACATTCTCTTGGGAGTCGATTACACTGAGCAGAAGTTCGCGGGAAGAAGCTGTTGGAGTGAAACTTTCTTCTCACCAATGGAATACACAGGGATTTTGGTTAGTTCGCTACAATGTGCGTGGCATAGCGGATCCTTGCCGTGAATGTTAGAACTGGCGAAATCAAGGAATGTAGTTTGTCCGAGCACCCTCCAGCGACAGAGCAGTGAGTGGCTTGTCACATCGCGCCTGTGAGAGAGAGGTTGAAATTTGGAGAATATTTCTCTTACTTACAAGAACTCGGAAACTCTTTTGGTCTCTATCGAAAAAAGACCCGGTAGGAGTGTGAATTAATATTAGAGTAAACATGAAGTCAGACTGCGAGCAAAACCGCCTGAATACGGACAACAAGTGGATTGATAAACACGCGAAAAGAGAACGGGACTCAAAACAGAAATGTGTCTTCTATATGTCCAAACTTTACAGCCAGGCCATTCTAAAACAACAAGAAGTCGAACCAGGATTCATTATTAGTGGGCAAAATATAAATAGCATAATATATGCTGATGACATAATGCTGATAGTAGACATAGATTAGAAACTGCAGGAACTGCTGGGGAAGGTAATAAGGGAAAGTCCGAAGAATGGACTAAACATGAATTGCAAGAAGACAATGGTTGTCAGCAAGGAACAGCCAAAATTGAGGACTATGAATAAAAGATGCCAAAATTAATTACGGAAATTTAAACATCTAGGAAGTGTTTTAACAGAAGACGGAAAAAGTGACACCGAAATCCGAAGTCGCACTGGAATAGCTAATAATTCCTTCCAAAAGTTAAGCAAAGTATTAAGAAACACATGTTCCCTCCATAATATTTTCAGTAACCTTCTGTAGAATCACATTACAATTGCTATAAGTCTCCTCTTCATCTGGGAGTTAATTGTCCATCATTCACTGCTATATATAAGCGTTGATATTAAATAGCAATTCAAGAGCCTATTATTTGTTTCTATTTCGTAATACTTTATTTAGCTTTTCTAATTCTTTTTTTATCTCGTTTGCCTTCACATTTCCATGTCACATTTTCTGTCTTCTGTATTGAGTAGATAAAAAAAAAGACAAGTCTGCCAGATCTTCAGTGCATGTCATATTCCCTTACCATTTTACCAAATTAAACTTAAGTTTATTAAACTAGGAATAAACTTCTATTTCTGTCATCATCAAGCTCGTCTCGTTAATTAAGTCCTGGACTTGACGATAAACTCCTTCCGGTAGCAAGGCCTCTGGTCGAGAGATTGGAGGTTTTGGGGGAGCGTGAACCACCTATTAATTGATGTTGTTTCAAAGTTCACCCTGATATGGTCCCAGATATAGTCAAATAGTCCCCGACAAATCTAAACATTAATAATAAATTTTTATAGTAAAATACCAGCAATACATTTTTGTTAACAATTACCAACAATACATATTTTTAGACTAATTGCAAGCAATACATTTTTAGTATGCGTCTATATTTCTGAGATGATGTATTATGTACACTATTCGGACTATTGCCCTCATCTTTGTCGCCGTATTTATTACAACGTTTCGGCCGCTGTACGCTCCAGCCTTCTTCAGGTGGTTGGAATGCCTTTTAAAGTGTGTCAGTTATCAGTTATCTCTTGTTAATTCCCCTCTAACCTCCTTAACCAGGGATTGAACTCACACTCTCTGGGTCCTGTCACTAACTAACGCCTTTATCCACTTTGCCATGTGTCCTTGACGATATCTGTGTATGAATTTCTGAGTATTATAAAGCTAATGTCTTTAGCAACCATTTTTACCAGTGCTCATATTGCAATTTTTACAGTTATAATTGCATGTAATAAATATAGCGACAGATATGAGGACAATAGTCCGAATAATGTAAATAGAATACATTTTTATAAAAAAAATACCAACAATACATTTTATGAAAAAATTGCCAATATTACATTTTCATGACCAGCAAAACATTTTATAGTAGAATTAATAATATATTTTATAGTATAATTGAAGACATGGCATGATTTGTTACAAAATAAAAAAATTAAAATTAAAAAAAAACAATTTGCTATGATAAATTTTATAATAAAATGACCAATACATTTTTATAGTAAAATGACCAACAATACATTTTTATAGTAAAATGACCAGCAATACATTTTTATGGTAAAATGACCAACAATAAATTTTTATAGTAAAATGACCAATAATACATTTTTGTAGTAAGATGACAATCATTACAAAACTACAAAAGTATAAAAACATAAACTTATAAAATTAACACCAATGTATTTTAAAAGAAAATTAACGGCAATAGATTTTTATAGTAAAATGACGAACAATACATTTTTATAGTATAACAATAGAATAACGATACATGACTAAAAAGTGTGAAAATGCATTTTTATTGTAGAATTATCAGCAATACTGTTTTATAGTAAAATGACATCATTAAATATGTAAATATGTATATATATTTTAGTAAAATTAACAGCTATACATTTTTATGATGAAATGACCAACAATGTATTTCATACTATAATGACCAACTATTGTTGGGTTTTATAGCAAAATGACCACCAATATATTTTATAATAAAATTATCACATTAAATTTTTTTGGGTGAAATAACAAACAATACATTTCATAGCAAAATGACCAACAATATATTTTATAGTAAAATTACCAGCTATACATTTTATAGTAAAATTACCAGCTAGACATTTTCATGGTGGAATGACCAACAATGTATTTTATAGCAAAATGACCACCAATATGTTTTATAGTAAAATTACCAGCTATAAATTTTTATGGTGAAATAACTAACAATACATTTATATAGAACAATGACCAACAATAAATATTATAGCAAAATGACCAACAATATATTTTATAGTAAAATAACCACCAATACATTATATCGTAAAAATTACCAGCATTAAATTTTTATAGTGAAATAACCAACAATATATTTTTATAGCAAAATGAACAATATATTTTCTAGTCAAATTGAAGACATGACATATATTGTTAAAATATTAAAAAAAAAACAATTTGCTATGATTAATCTCATTTCTTGCAAGAAGAAACACGTTTTCACTATTCTCTTGACTTTGTAAGTTTATTTGATAAGAAAAATGCAGCTAAGTAATTATAGTTTAATCATGAAATAATATCATTATCTTGAATTAATTATAAAGTTTGCATTTTCATATTTAGATTTCGGCATAAAATAACCCACAGTTGTGTTGATATGCCGTTAAACAAAAACAACCAAACCAAACCAATCGCTCATTAATTCATCAATTTAATAAATACATTTTTTACTCTGATCTCGCGACATAATAAACTGAACATCTGCCTCTCTGGTTTAACCTCACAGTATCTGGAAGCATTATTATGATGCAATTCTCGGAGCATTCATAAATATCTATGAAGAAAATACCACAGTTCACGTTGCATCTCTAAAAATCTAGATGATCACGACCTGACAACTGATCATTGGTCGAGATCTAACATCTCACTGGGGAAAATTGGCATATAAAATGCAATATCTCAAAAAAACAAACATAATAACGTTTCATTACCACTGAAC